ATAGATACATATAAAAAATGTAAAAATAATAAAAATGAAAAAAATTTTTTTTTTACTAAAACGTTAACTAAAATTAAAATGATAGCAGAAAATAACAAATTCAAAAAATTCAAAGATAAAACTATAACAGGATAAACTCAATAATATCTCATTTATTTGTTTGTTTATTTATTCATTCATTCATTCATTCATTCATTCATTTATTTAAATATCGCCTGGCATGACAAAAAAATTGTTTTCTACCAACCATATAATTTTCAAAATGTTTCAGGATTTAAGATTGATGCAAAAATGAACCTCAGCTCTCAAATATCATTGCATCACACTGCATTATTTACAGTCAGTATTCTTATGCTTTGTGCCTAGAACAATATTTTTTCTGTAAAAAAAAAAAAACGTGTTTTTCTCGTAAAAGTTGAACTGTTAAGTTTGATGAGGCCAGTGTGAGTGAAATCCTGATAAAAACCCAAAAAAGCCCATTCTCTTTCAAAACATGTTTTGTTCCAGCCCTGTTACAGTGTTTCGGGGTTGAATGTTACAGGGTTGAAGATCGGTGCAAGAACAGTTTATATAGGACGTTTCACAGCGAGTTTCCAGGGTCTCACGTAGCCTATGTTGTTTACAGTGACTAAACTCCCACTTGGCATGTATTAATAGTAAGTATGCACCTGTCGCTGTTTCTGTGATGCCAATGAGATACTGGTGAATATGCTGGACTTCAGATCCCGTCCGCATTCAGGTCTCCTATCAAATCAAATCCAATGCAGTTGCTTCATATAGTCTATGTATGAGCCTCTTCAGTCAGATATTGGAATGAAATGTGGGTGGAATGACCTTTTTTATCATTGTGTTGTGTAAACAGTGTCATATCAGTGTCTTCATGGAAAACTGTTCATGCTTAATTGTATTTCTGTGTACTTTCGTAAGAGGGAAAATATGGGATGAAAGAGCTACAGTGGTGCTGCAGTGATAAGAACAATAAGTGCGCTTTTGTGGACATATTAAACCAACAACATGCAATGAACGTTGCAAACAGACTCTGAATGATTTACTGTCAAACTTGGGCTGGAGGTTTGATCGTTTGTTAAATTAAACAGCTTTTTCTGTCTCTCCCTCCCCCTCTGTGTCTTTGTGATTTCTGGTAAGTGACATGGCTGGCTGTGTGTGTGTGTGAGAGAGAGAGAGAGAGTCTGTGAATAATTCCACATGAATGACTGTGTGTATATTGTATAATTCCAGCAGGGCAGAGCTCACTGGGACTGTAAACACTTCAAAGTTTGGATGATTTTCCACTTTAGTCGTTGCATGATGCATGCAAATTTAAATTTAAGCTTAAATTGAAAATTTAAGCTGCTTTTATCAGTTCTAATAGCTGCCTGG